CCTGAACCACCTCTGAACCACCTCTGGGCCACCCCTGAACCACTCCTGACCCACCTCTGGGCCACCTCTGAACCACCTCTGAACCACCTCTGGGCCACCTCTGGGCTACCCCTAAACCACTCCTGAACCACCTCTGGGCCACCTCTGAACCACCTCGGAACCACCTCTGGGTCACCCCTGAACCACTCCTGACCCACCTCTGGGTCACCTCTGAACCACCTCTGAACCACCTCTGGGCCACCCCTGAACCACCTCTGAACCACCTCTGAACCACCTCTGGGTCACCCCTGAACCACTCCTGACCCACCTCTGGGTCACCTCTGAACCACCTCTGAACCACCTCTGGGCCACCTCTGAACCACCTCTGAACCACCTCTGAACCACCTCTGGGCCACCTCTGAACCACCCCTGGGCCACCCCTGAACCACCCCTGAACCACCTCTGAACCACCTCTGGGCCACCTCTGAACCACCTCTGAACCACCTCTGAACCACCTCTGGGCCACCTCTGAACCACCTCTGAACCACCTCTGAACCACCTCTGGGCCACCTCTGAACCACCTCTGAACCACCTCTGGGCCACCTCTGAACCACCTCTGGGCCACCTCTGGGCCACCTCTGAACCACCTCTGAACCACCTCTGAACCACCTCTGGTCCACCTCTGAACCACACCTGAACCACCTCTGGTCCACCTCTGAACCACCCCTGGGCCACCTCTGGGCCACCTCTGAACCACCTCTGAACCACCTCTGAACCACCTCTGGTCCACCTCTGAACCACACCTGAACCACCTCTGGGCCACCTCTGGGCCACCTCTGAACCACCTCTGAACCACCTCTGAACCACCTCTGGTCCACCTCTGAACCACACCTGAACCACCTCTGAACCACCTCTGGTCCACCTCTGGTCCACCTCTGAACCACCTCTGAACCACCTCTGGTCCACCTCTGAACCACACCTGAACCACCTCTGGTCCACCTCTGGTCCACCTCTGAACCACCTCTGAACCACCTCTGGACCACACCTGAACCACCTCTGGACCACCCCTTGCAAAAAAAAAAAAAGGTCTAGCTCCGCCCCCTGCCTGCAGTTTAGAGTTAAAACTGTCACAAATTTACAAAGTGAACACTGGAGGTCCACTATCCTGCATGTTTTCTAAAACCTGCTGGTTAGCGAACCTCCAGGACCAGGACCAGGACCAGGACCAGGACCAGGACCAGGACCAGGACTAGGACCAGAACTGGGTCCACCCACACAGAGAACAGAAATGGTCTGACCTGAGACAGGAGTCCAGTTCTGACGGAGAACTCCAGGACCACAGGTGGAACTTTGTCTTCCAGAAACAGGACGTTGCTGTTCTCCAGTCCGTCCCACGCCAGCCGGCTCAGCTCACACAGCTGGGAGGGAACCGGGTCCAGACCAGAACCAGAACCAGAACCAGAACCAGAACTGAACAGAGACACGGAGCAGATCCATGGTTTGATCTGGATTCTGCATCGACTCGTGGACAGCATGCAGGATTTAAAGATCTGTTTGTTTCGACACAGAGAGGAAGGTTACCTCTGAGGAGGTGGTGAGGTGTGTGTTTGGTCATCGTGTCCTCCGCCTCCTCCTCCTCCTCCTCCTCCTCCTCCTCCTCCTCGGCTCAGAAAGGCAGCAACCACAGCGAGGTAGAGCTGGGTGAGGGTCCTGGGGATTTCAGAGGTCTCCGCTCCGTTCAGATCATTTCTCCTCTCTACGTCTGGATGTTCTGCTCCTCCTCCGGTCTCCTCCTGAGCGCGTCTCCTTTCTCGCAGTAAATGCTGCAGGAAGATGCAGCAGATGTTGCAGAGGGCAGGGAGGGAGGACAAGGCCAGGAGGTGTCGACTGGAGAAGAGGAGGTCCACTGCCTCTGATCCCAGACGTCCGTCTGATCCGATGTCTTTAAGACAGAAACTGTTTTTAGTTTCAGGCAGGAAACACCTGAACAAACAGGTTTTTACCTGAACAAACAGGTTTTTACCTGAACAAACTGGTTTACCTGAACAAACTGGTTTACCTGAACAAACAGGTTTACCGGAACAAACAGGTTTACCTGAACAAACAGGTTTACCTGAACAAACTGGTTTACCTGAACAAACAGGTTTACCTGAACAAACAGGTTTACCTGAACAAACTGGTTTACCTGAACAAACAGGTTTACCTGAAAAACTGGTTTACCTGAACAAACTGGTTTACCTGAACAAACTNGGTTTACCTGAACAAACAGGTTTACCTGAACAAACTGGTTTACCATGTACGGCGAAGAATCCGTCCACGTATTCTCTGATCTGTTGGTGGTCCCACGGCAGCAGCTGTCCCACTTGGTCCTCTGAGCCGTCCAGATCTGGGACATCCCGGACTCGACAGGTGAGCAGCACGGTGCTCCCAGGAAGGAGCCGACGGGTCAACAGACCTGAGACCAGGTCTGCAGCAGGTAGAGGGGTTTCTGGGTCCAGCAGCTGGTCTGGTCTGCTGAGCTTCCTGTGGAACTCATCGTATCCGTCCAGAACCCAGCAGCTCTGTCCCGGGTTGGACAGGAGGTGGTCCAGGACAGCTTCCTGCTCCAAACACAGAAGACGTCAGCAGAGCCTCCTACCTGCTGTACGACGACAGAGGAGCAGGTGTGCTACCTGTACATGAGGGTCCCCGTCCTGAGGGGGGACGTAGTGCTGAAACAGCAGCTGGGACAGAGACAGGGGGGAGGACAGCAGGTTGAGCTGACGGAACTCCAGCAGGACGAACAGGCAGGAGGAAGGGATGGAGCCCTGAGTGTGAGGAAGCAGGTGAAGGTGTGGAGAAATACGTATGACAAGAAAGAACACTTGTGTACTATACTATATCTTAGTATATTATACTACAGAACATTATACTATACTACATTATACTACAGAACATTATACTATACTACATTATACTACAGAACATTATACTATACTACATTATACTACAGAACATTATACTATAC